AAATGTTTAGAAGCATCACTTGTGATCATGGTGTGTTTTCTATGCACACTGAAAGCTTAATTTGAGATAAAGTTGTTTTAATAGCAGGAAGAAAAGGGAAATAAATCAGAAAAAAGGGATGAAGATTAGAAAACATGTTGAGAACTACTAGATTTCTTCAGAATATCACAGACATCAACACTGTTACATTTTAGAGGAAGTAATAGTACACACACACACACACACACACACACACACACACACACTCGTATTTCCAAGAGTTTCAATCCAGTAATTTATCATAGAAATGCATGCAATGTACTTTAGATGCCAGGAGCAGCATTATGCACAGTTAGTAGTTATGTAATTAGATATCCAAAGTCATCGCGTTGCTGTCTATATCATGGGGCCGACCATGCCAGAGTCACCTGTTTCTATCATGTTTGACCTTGCTTTTGCAGAGGAATGCATTTTTCATTTCTCACCAACAGTTCCTGTGCAACAAAGGCATATGATATGCCTGGCAGTCAAAGAAAATCAATGCACTAATCTTTTACCAGTGGGCAATGGAAGCTGGTAGCTAAGATTCCCACTTCCATGTCTAGGGTTAACTGTCTAAGGTGATTTCTATGTGGTCCCTTGGGGCACCAACTGCAGTATCCACACCAGAGGTGGCTATCTGTTAATGTCCTTGATGCCCTTCCGGGTTCCGCTCTTTTTTCTCATCTATGTTTTTCTAGGATCTGGTCTCAACTCTACCTTACAATAAGTGAGCAGTCTTTGCTACCACTAAAGAATCCAAGATTTTTAAAAAAGGGAATGAAGCTCATATTTTTGGTTCTCACAAAAGAAACCCTAGTATATTGTCTTCCATATGATAGTTCTTCTATAAATATTGTATGGTGTAAAAATGAAGAGACAATAACATCGAGTTATCAATAATTGAACATTGCATACATATAATTAACTGTGCATTCAATCAATATAATATCTTTGTGATGATCAAGGCTGTGCTTCTTTTTCTTGCCAACATGAATATTGTGAGTAAATTTATTTAAAATGGCAACACAAGCCTGATGTGGCAAGTTGATAATTTATTACCTTAATACCATTATTAAAAATAAAATTAGGTTCCTACTGTTTGCATAGTCTCAGAGAACCACCCAGACTCCCGGTCTTTGCCCCAATAGCTGACCCCTGGTAAGAGGTCATGTGACTTTGTTCACCTTTAAGATCAGATACATTTTGATCAGAGGTCATAGACGTTGTTCTGTGAAACAAATCTATCTGAAAAGCTTTCTACAATCCCAAGGTCATTTTCTCTATCTCCGAATACAAAAATCCAGAGAAAAGTGGAATGTAAAAGAATGGGTACAGATTCTTCCTCAAATGGCATTATCTATCATGATGCATCTGTTTGAAGCCCAGGCTGGATTCTTTGGCTTTTTCTTTGACATCCCAAATAGATACAACAGCACCCTGGAGTACATCAAATGATGAGGGTCACAAAGAGCCCTGTCCCTGCCCTGCTCCGTTTATCACGCGGCCTCTGTTAGCATTCAGGCATTTGTGCTGGCCTGCCCTTGGGGTCCTGACAGGACACGCCCTCAGCTGCAGTCGCTAAGAGCACCACCCGTGCACAGTCACTGTGTTCCCTTTAAAAGGGGCCTGCCCACCTCCCATCCCTCTCTCTTTCTTACCCTCTTCCTCTCTTTCCCTTCCACCACCCTTGTTCCCAGGGACCAGTCTCTGCCCCCCCTTTCTTCCTCTTTTCTCTTCTGTTCTAATAAACCTCCTACCAGTCTCTTAGTGTGTGAAGAGAGATGAGACGTGCTTTCTGGTTTTCCGAGGAAGAGGTATCTTCACATTGGAGAGTCTCCCCACCTGACTGACTGGCTGAGATTAGTGCTGCAAGAGTTCTCTGGGAAGGAAGGATCTTCAGGCCCGACAACTTCACCCAGTCGGTTTTTTTCTCTTTGAAGAGGGCTACAAGCATTTAGTGGATTCTCTCCATCTTCTGTAGTGGTGCTATGTTGTGTGGCTCCTGTGTTTGAGCACTTGGTTCTCGGCTGTCAGAACTGTTCTGGGAAGCCTGTGAAACATCTGATCGTGGGGCCAAACTGACAGATGTAGACTACTTCTAGCCAGGACCGCTTCTATCCCGAGCTTTGTCAAATTTGGGGTTTACAGCGTTAAAACAACAGGGAGGTTTCTACTGACTCTGATGAAGCTGGTCCTAGATGACATGCTGTGTCTGCCGTGATGGACTTTTATCTCCTTAAACAGTGAACCAAAAAGGAATCTTTCCTTCCTGGTGTCTGTCATTGTCCTATCACAACTTGAAAAAGATCTGCAGTTTGACAAAATATAAATGTTTTCTGGATGGGATCATTCTTTTTTTTTTCCAGACATTGTTTCTTTTTTATTAATTTCTATTTAAATTAAAATTATCTTATTTTACATACCAATCCCAGTTCCCTCTCCCTCCTGTCCTCCCATTCCTCCCACCAACCCCCATCCCACTAGAGGAAACCATTCTGAGTGAGGTAACCCAGACATAGAAAGAAAATCATGGTATATACTCACTCATAAATGGATATTAGACACAGAGCAAAGGATAACCAGCTTACAATTCACAACCCCAGAGTAGCTAGAAAACAAGGAGGACCCTCAGAGGATGTACATGGACCCCTGGAAAAAGGGAAAGGGACAAGATCTCCTGAGCAAATTGGGAGCATGGGGGAGAGGGAGGGAGGTAGGAGAAAAAGGAAGTTAGAAGGGGAGGGGGAGGAGAATATGAGGGATGGGGTCATTCTAATCCTAAAAGTTCATTTTAAAGACAAAAATACACATTTTCTTTTTACCATATACTACAGTCTCATTTATAGTGAAGAAATATCACAAAATTTCTACTTGCTCAACAATAGGGGATTAGTAATATAACTTAGATAAGCTGTCTGGGGTAACCAGAAGACAGGAGCCACCCATGTGTTGAGGAAGCAAAGGAACCTTTCAAGCTTTCTCAGTAGTGTATGAAAAGGCTAAAGATGGGGTGAATACAAGTTATTCCCAAAGAAAAGCCCAGAAGCTAGGAAGAGTAAGAAAGAATGACATGTGGCATGCTACAGAGACAGTCAGGGTTCCAAACCATGCAGAGACCCTCAACACAAGAGAGAATGTGTACTTGATTGAAACTGAAATGTAAATCGGTTTATTCCTTTTGGTCAGTCCTCCTGGAATTAGAAACTATCCAATAGGGTAAAATGCTTGTGATCTGTTAAATAACAAAGACTATGTCATCCACTGAACCACCATACATCAGATAATGGCATATCACCATATCTCTTCTGTTTAGGTGGTCTTCTTAAACTTCGTAGTTGGCCAGAAGGCAACTGCCAAGTTTAAAGAGGACTTCGAGACTCCTACAGAACCCGCCATTTGTGAATGTTCCAGTATAAGAGGGCTCTGTTCAACTTGAGTAACTTCCTTTCCTTTTGAATTCTAACGAATGGATTTCTTCTCAGTCTTCTGTGTCTGGGGTATTATTGATATGAATAAGCACGGGGAATAGCTTAGTCACCTAGGACTGTGCTTGGCTTGGGCTATGCATATGCCCCTTTCCTAATAATGCACCTGGTCCCATTAGACCCCACACCTCCATAGAGCTAATTGTATGTACACTCACTTCAGATAATGGTGTGGATCCCTTCTCCTTCGCAATCCTATTAGGATGATGCCCTTTCCATTCCATCCATACACAGTCTTGAGACACATCATTGGCAATGGGTCAGTCCAACATGGACTGATTTAGGGAGCATGAACAATGAGGCAAATTTTGTCTTCTGATTGAACTTCTAGATGGGAAGCCTTTGACACTCTTAGGCCTGTGTCTAACCAGATATACATACTTAAAATGAGATGCACTATAGGAAGGGACCTGTGCAGCAGAGAAAAGTTTACATAAAATTGAGACAGACAACCCCCCTCACTATGTCACTCTCCAACAAGACCACACTGCCTCCAACATGGCCACACCTCCTAATCCTTCTCAAACATTCCCATCAAGCATAGGGAGCAAACGTTCAAATACACGAGTCTGTGCGGGTCATTCTCATTCAAACCAACACACATTTATTCGCCTCTGCTTCACGAGGGTTAAAAAGAAACAATTTTATCTGCAGATTAAAGAAAAGCAGTCAATACCTTTCTACACCTACTACTTGGGCTTAATTTGTCACCTAATACACTTTCCAGCTTCTTGAGAAATGGTTGAGAGAAAGTTAATTGTGTGTCTATGGAGGTGGGCCTTTGGGAGAAAAAAACGTAGAAGCTTGTTATCTGTCTCCTTATCCATTCCAACTCATGATACAAATTGACCGGAATCAACCAAATTAGCAGAAAACGTGTAGGAGGTTAGTGTATGTGCCCTTAAGTGATTGCCATGGTGAAATCATGAAACACATCCAAATTTAAACAAAACTTGAAGTGAGACGAGTAGATGTTAAGTAATTCTACATTTCCTCTTAAAAACCTTTCAGCGACAAATTCCATCTTCAACACTTAGGCGATTATAAACCCTGAAATTAAATTTCATGATGAATAATTAAGCACAGCTCTTCAGAGTCCCTGGGAGAAACGACGTTTTCTGCGGCACAAACACTTGAAGTAATCAATTGGGAGTCAATTGGCAAGGCACTGAAGTACAATTTTCAATTCTGAAGAACCCATTTTCACTTCAGACCCCCACGGTGTGCATGACAGCCCCCGTAGGTTCTGTTTCGGGGGGGGAATGGGTAATCGGGGGTTGCTTTCTGTTCTGGGAGTGTTGTTTTTGCTTTGTGTGTGTGTGTGTGTGTGTGTGTGTTTGTGTGTGTGTGTCCATATGTGTCTCTGTGTGTGTGTGACTATGTGCACATGAATTCAGGTGCCTGCAAAGCCAAGAGAACATGTCCTCTCTCTTGAAGCTGTAGTTACAGGTGGTTGTAAACCACTGATAGTGACAGTTGGGGACCAAACTTTGGTCCTCTGTGGAAACACTGTATGCTTTGACACTGACCCATCTCTCCATCCCTTGTTCTGTGACCAGTGAGCCCTCACTTGGCTTTAGAAGATCCTTGTATGAGATGGTTCAACCTAAACTGTAAAAACATAGTGAACTGAAATCCCTGGAAAGGCCACATGCCACATGTATTGAAGAGCCTTCCTTCCAGTTCTATAAATTCTGTCTCTCTCTCTCTCAATCTCGGGGTACTGGTGTCATCCCAGGCAGAGCATCTGTCCATCTCCATTCCTGACCGCATGCTTTCTCCACGGTCTTCAGTCCCGGTATTTCCAAACTGACCAAGGCTCTACTGGGTAAGTAGCCTTTGTCTGTTCAATAGTCTATTCTAAGGCTCTGCAGAATAGTGTAGGGAGAGATCTTATGTACCTGTAGCACTGATCACACCTGTTTGGCCATGGCCACAGGTGCGTAGAAGATGCAAGGGGATAAAGAGCTAGGAGAAAGGAGACTCTCTCTTGGGGTTCCGGTCGAGTCTCGAAGACCAATGGAGCGCTGACCTCAGGTTCTCAGCTTCTCAAGTAAGTGACTTCTCCTTAAATAAAGATCATATGACATCCTACCCTGTGTAGCTTAATATTCCACGATAGAATAGTATCCCCGGAAGTGCCTGTGTCCTATTCGTAAAAAAACTATAAATGTGTTGGCTATAAACATAGGGAGGTCAAGGTTAGAGATGAAACTGGAGTTGATTGCAAGTGCGTGTTTGGGGGTGGGGAGCTATTTTATATTATCCAGATGAGTCAAAAGCAATCATGAGTTTCCCTCATACACGTTAAAAGGAAGCCAAAGAGAGACCACACTCTGATGGTGATAAAGGTTGTGGCCACCTACAAACCAAGGGGTGGAGTTACTGGATGGGCAGAAAAGGCAAGAAAATGATTTACCCCTGCGGCCACCAAACAAAACACAGCTCTTCTGCAACCTCATTTTGCCTGTGTGAGAATGGTTTTGGACTATGTGCTGGTTATTTTGGGTCAACCTGATGTACACTACAGTCTCTTGGGAAAAGGGAGCATCTGTGTCTTCGTCAGATTGGCCTAGGTGCAGGACAGTGGAGCGTTCACTGTGGGTGGTGTCATTCCTGGGCAGGCAGCCTTGGATTATGTAGCCGAACACGCTGTGGAGAAACATCCCTCCGCAGTTCCTGCCTCCAGGTTCTTGCCCTGCCTGACTTCCCTCCCTGATGCTCTTCATCCTGTAGGCAGGCAAAACTCTCGTCACCCTTACATTGGTTTTGGTAGATGTTTTATCGCAACAAATGATAAGCGAACTGGGATAGCCCAGAACGAAAAGGAATAGATTCACGTTGTCTCAAGCCATTAACTTTATAGTAACGTGTTAGGACGGGTTCTCCTGACGTCAGTGTATACCGTTATTGTCCGTGAGAAAACGGCTGGCTGTTCCCCCAGACATGTGCTTCCTTCTATGATATTTAGAAATGCTTTGGAGATTGCTGTAGCCAGAAACTCCATTCCTGGCCTTTTGCATCTAGCGATCTCATGCAACCACCTTAGGTTTCTTTTGGGCAAAAGTAATTAAATTAGGGATGTTTTTCCTTTCTGGGACTCAATCCAAAGGCCTCCATACCACAAGAAATAGCCTTGGTCTTCAATCACTGTCCATTTTCCTGCACTGAAATTTTATTTATATATATACATATACATATAAATAAATTTTATATGTATATATAAAATTTGATCCAATAACTTTAAAGGTTTACTGTTCAGGCATCAACCATTTTTTTTATAGCAGAGGTATGGTTTTCCACTGAATCCTCATTTGTTGTGTTTTACTAGGCAACTGTCTGGAAGCATTCTTTCTTATTGTCATCCTCTTATCTCTTCAGGAAATTGCAAGTGCTTCCTTAGCGATTTGTGATGCTACCTCTCAGAGTTACCCTTTCAGTATCCTCTAATCTTCCTATTGATAGAATCTATAAATACCCCCAGAGCCTCAGGGACCTTCATTTACTAAGCTATGAGACTACTAGATATTTGAGGTCTTTGGCCTGCGGCATCCGGGAGGACAGTAAATAGGATTATAGGAGTTCAAAGAAGAAGAAACTTGGCTCTCGCCTACTTGGTGTTACAGTGCATAAGCAGCCTTCCCAGAGTTGCACTTCTATTACATGAGGTCATGTGTATCTGACTACTGGTCCTTAGGGCTGTACCCGATCCCTTTTCCTGTCACTCTTAGGACTCTACCTGCTTTAGAAAGGAGGAGTGAAGAGTAAGCATTACCTCAGTGACAGCTGGCCTACAAGTGCCAAAAGTGACAATCTTTTTAAAAAACAAAACATTTGTTTTTAGGCTTTCAAAGAAAATTGTGCCAGTGAATATCACATCTAGTCCTCTGTACAGTTATGGGACTCCAGACCCCGATTGCTCTCCTTCAGGGCCAGAGGTATGCTATGGAGCATCCACGGGAGTTCAAAGAGTTCTACTTCCTGTTGGGGGGATGTCCTTCTGTCTGCTGTGAATATATGTTTCTCTTATTGCCTGATGAATAAAGCTGTTTCAGTCAATGGACAGGCAGGATATCGCCAGGTAAGAAGTATAGGTGGCACTACCAAACTAGGAGAATTCTGGAAAGAGGAGCTTGGAGAGTGAGTTGGAAGAGAGATGCCATGTAGCCTCCTGGGTGGTAGGATGCCCAAGCATTCTCCGGCAAGTCAAGACCAGGTGGAGATACATGGATTAATAGAAATGGGTTAATAATTAAGAGAGAGCTAGCCAACAAGAAGCCTGAGCCACTGGCCAAACAGTTTATAATTAATATAAGTCCCTGTGTGTTTGTTTGAGATTAAACAACTGCAGGACCGGACTGGATAGAAACTTCAGTCCACAACTCTCAAGTAAGTTTCAGAAACCATAAACACAAACAAGTTAAGTATACACTGCTTTATTTAACTTTATTGGAATTTTTTGTATGTATTTTAAAGAACAAACAATATAGTCAAGTCTTTCAAACATATTTCACCATAGGTTTGCGCAGGTACATTTAAATGTGCGTGTTTTACACACACACACACACACACACACACACACACACACACACACACGAAACATTCATTTCCTAAATGTTTTTGTAAATTTCTTACTGGCAATGATGACTTGGTGGATAAGTTGCTAGCTACTATATTATTCAATTTTCTTTCTTCATCATCTTGACTGAATGGATTCATTCTAACTGTGTATGTATTTTCAGGAAATGGGAATGTATAAAACCCAAGAGTGTCTTCTGGTTTACTCTGTTCATTTGTTCAAGGTTTCAAGGTGTGTATTAAATCCAGATGACTACTGTTCCTGTGCTTTTGAGTCTGGTATCTGTGTGTAAAGTCTATAGATAATGTCTCTTAACTTGCCTGGTGACACTGCGTGCTGCTGGCATATTAATTGTAGTTTTCAAACGAGCAGCTTTAATTACTATGCATAGATGGGTTTTTAAAACAGATTGGAGCTACCTGGCCCAGCAGACCTCCCTAACCCTTCTCTGTCCCGATGAAACAAATGGACTGTGTATTAGTTGTAAAGCTGTTGCCCATTGGCTGTGGTTTCTTATAGGCTAGCTCGGACTTAATTATTAACCCATAACTACTAATCTATGTATTTCTTCGTGGCCTTATCTTACTGGAGAAAGGTCCAGGGACCTCTTACTCCTCTCGAGTCCAACATGGTGACTGACTTAGCGTGTCCTCAGAGAAGAGAAGAGAAGAGAGCGATTTCCTGTTTGTCCCTGCTTATATTCTGATTCTGCCCAGCTATATCACTTCCTGCCTGGCCACTCATCCAATCAGCGTTTTATTCATTAACCAAGAAGAGAAACATATACACTTCTCCCATCAAAGCTCCTTATCTTGGTCAATCCATGAATGCAAATAAAACTAGTGAACAGAGAGTCTTTTCAGGTTTCTTATTAAGTCTCAGTCATTGCAGACGGATTTATTTTGTCTCGGTGATGATGAGATTATTAGCAGATCACACTGAGCAAAGACCAGAGAGTCCCATTCCCACATGAGGTCCACGTTGTCAGTGAATTATCTATCTTTATGTAGGAGTCAGAAGCTGAGAATTCTGTGTTCTATCATCTAGACACAGAAACTTGGGGTCTTGATTGTACCATTAATATCAGGGATATGTCTTGATAATCGTGGAGAAATTGTCCCTAATCCAGAGACAAATGTAGTGGCAAGGGCTTTGAAAACGATAATGAGACATTAGCGGAAGCAGAAGACTGAGGGTCAGTTCACCTGCAGCCAGAATCGCATCTCAAAGAAGTTTTCCGGAGCATATTCTAAACCTATGAGTCATGCAGCCTGTACGGTTGCCAAAAACTCTGGACAAAGAGTAGCCATGGAAACGGCATACCAGATGTCTCAGGGGCTGTATAAAAACATCTGAAAACTAAGTCAGAAGGAATATTTGGAAAACACTTGGAAAGGTAAGAGGCCCTGCTCATGGGGAAAGCAAAGACCTCTTGCCTGTGATTACTAGTCTGAATGAGTGAACGTAAGTCAAGGCAAAAATTTCCACCCCCAAGCAGGCTTTGCAGAGACTAACATCACAGCCAAGCCCTTCCTGACAAGGATCTTGTGATGACACAGCCTTCTAGCCTGAGCTAGTCTCCAGGCAGTGTGGCCAGGACTGTTTGCTTGCTACCAGGCCTCCTATTTCATGGCTAATCACTTAATCCATTGAACCTCCAAAAAGAGTATGTCCCTACAAAAGACAAAGAAAGGTGCCTCTAGAGCATTCTCTGATGCCAGTGTGGAACTAAATTTCCTTGAAACACACCACACACACACACACACACACACACACACACACACACACACACACACACTTTAAAATTCTACAGATCCTAGAAATTCCTCATGACCTTGGAAAGCTGTAATGTTGCAGATCAAGGCACAAAGTTATCGTGGTCTTCATTTGATACACTTAATCATTCACTTAGCCCCAATATTTATGGCTGCCCTGACACACTTTTGACTGCCAAGTGAGACCTCAGGAATGTGTCTTTTTTGCTTTCTGCTAGTTTGTACAATCCCAACGCAAGAATGTCTTCAGGTACCATCTAATCCTATCACAAAGAGTTTCCTGTTGTGCTGTAATCCACCTGCCGTCCTGTCAACAATGTTTTTGATGAGTGAATTGATTTCTCATTTTGTTTTGTTGTGTACTGATAGAAGTTTGTGTAACCCATTGGCAGTGGAATGTGTCATTCATATTTGCTTCATGCCCTATGTGAAGAACTATTTGAGGTTAAAACTGGAGAACTTCATAGCTGTCTT